CTCAGAGGCAGATGAAATCCATGTATAAGTGGACTTGCACAGTTCCAACCAATGTTGTTCAGTAGTCAACTGTAGTTATCCATTGCCATTTTAACAAATCACCCTAAAACTCAGTAGCTCAAAACAAAGTCATTTATTATCTCAGTTTTTGTGGGTGAAGATTGTAGGAGCAGCTTAGCTGGGAGGTTGCAGCTCTGGATATTTGGCGAGATTGCAGTCAAGATGTTGACTGGGCTGTAGTCATCTGAAGGCTCATCCGAGGTTGGAAGATCCTTTCACAGGATGGTGCACTCACATGGCTGGAGGCTGGAGGCCTCAGTTCCTCACTACGTGGGTCATTCCATAAGCTGATTGAGTGTCCTCATGACATGGCAGCTGACTTTTCCCAGAGAGAGTGATCCAAGAGAGAATGAACAAAGAAGAAGCTGCGTGCCTTTTATGACCCAGTCTCTAAAGCTGTATTTTGCTATCTCTGCCATGTTTTTGTCCTAAAGTCTAGCCCACACTTAATAGAGGGGAATTTGGCTCCTTCCTTCCTTCCTCTCTCTGTCTGCTTCTTTCTTTTCTTTTCTTTCCTTCCTTCCTCCCTCCCTCTCTCTGTCTGCCTTTCTTTCTTTTCTTTCTTTCCTTCCCTCCCTCCCTCCCTCCCTTCATTCCTTCCTTCCATCTCCCTCTCCCCTCCCCCATCTCCCCTCCCCCATCTCTCCTCCCTTCCCCTGCCACATCTCCCCTCCCCTCCCCTCCCCTCCCCTCCCCTCCCCTTCCACTTGCCCTTCCCTTCCTTTCCTCTCTTCTCTTCTCTTCTTTTTAAGGCAGAGTCTTGCTCTTTCACCCAGGCTGGAGTGCAGTGGCGCCATCTTGGCTCACTGCACCCTCTGCCTCCTGGGTTCAAGCAATTCTCCTGCCTCAACCTCCTGAGTAGCTAGAATTACAGGTGTGTGCCACCACGCCCAAGCAATTTTTTGTATTTTTAGTAGAGATGGGCTTTCGCTTTGTTGGCCCAGCTGGTCTTGAACTCCTGGCCTCAAGTGATCTGCCTGCCTCAGCCTCTCAAAGTCCTGGGATTGCAGGCATAAGCCACTGGCCAGTGCATAAGCCCCCGGCCAGTACAAGTTTTTGATAAGTGGCAGGTCACACCTGGCCTCAGAGGCAGGGCTACAATAGGGAGTGGTAAGGACTGCAGTTAGCTAATGGTGCACTCCCCATCTAAGGGGGCACTGGCGGTTCTTCACCATTGCAGGCTCTCCAGCCTGGGACTTAGGCTCATGAGACCAGATCAGCAGATTCTTCAAGAGAAGCTAGAAATTAGGATTTTATATGAATTTTTTTTTTTTTGGAGACAGGGTCTTCCTGTGTCACCCCAGGCTGGAGTGCAGAGGCTCGATCATGGCTCACTACAGCCTCTTCCTTCTGGGCTCAACTGGTCCTCTCACCTGAGCCCCTGAGTAGCTAGGACTATAGGCATGTGCCACCATGCCTGGCTGATTTTTAAAATTTTTTCATAGAGATGGGGTTTTGCCCTGTTGCCCAGGCTGGTCTTAAACTCCTGGGCTCAAGTGATCCCCCCTTTTTGACCTCCCAAATTGCCAGGATTATAGGTGTGAGCCACTGTGCCTGCTATATGTGAAATATTCTTATTTTTTTAAAGTTGTCAGCTAATTCTAATAAACAACAAGTACTGAGTAGGCCTAAAATATATGTTCATGGTGAGAGTCTATCCAGGAGCTGGTTTTATCTCCCAGGCCTATTATGTACTTTCGTGACCTTTAGTCATGACCTTTAACCCTCACCAGCGCTGATCGGCTTGCTCATCTTTCTCTGCTACTTCACCCCAGCCCTGAGGGCCTCAGAGTCATCTCTGATTCCTTATCTGAATCTCACCGCCCTGGTACATTCTTGCCCTGTGACAGGGGTTCGGTAAATATTTTGCAAGCCAGGTAGAATTGAACCACCTGCCTGGGTAAGTGCACAGTTATGGTGGGCTGAATAACTGTCCCCCAATCATTTCCACCTCCTAATCCCCAGAAGTTGTGACTATATGGCCATACAGGGCAAAAAGGACTTTGCAGATATAAGCTAAGGATCTTGAGATGGGGAGATTGTCCTGGGTTGTCTGGGTGGGCTCCCATTTCATTGCAAGGGTCTGTATAAGAGGGAAGCAGGAGGGTAAGAGGCAGTAGCAGGACATGTGGTGATGGAGGAAGAGGTTGGAGTGATGTGGGGAGGTGGCCAGAAGCCAAGGCATGCGGGTGGCCTCTGATCACTGAAAAAGAAAGGAAACTGATTCTTGCCTGGAGCCTCCGGGAGGAACCAGCCCTGTAGACACCTTGACTTCAGCCCCGTGAGCCTGATCTAAGACTTTTGATCTCTAGAACTGCAAGATCAGTGTGTTTGTGTTGTTTTTAGCCACTTAATATGTGGTTATTCATTACAGCAGCCACAGGAAACCCACATACCAGGGATGCCAAGACTCCCTCAAGGAGGTGGACTCAGTGTTCTTTAATTTCCCTATGAGTCAGGAGGCTTTGGTGACAGAAACCTTAAGCAAAAGAAGAGAACTTATTGGTGCACATCACTTCAGAGTCCAAAGATATCTGGTTTCTATGCTCACTGCCGGGGCTGAGATGATGGGTGTGGCTGGGAATGTGACTCCATCCCTTGGCCCTGCTGTCGTCCAAATAGGCTTCAGTGTCAGGAGGCTCCCAGATGGCAGCAGGGATGATGGCCCAGGCAGCTTCTGTCTTCCATGACACCACCTGGCAGCCCTGGCGGGGAGGAAAGGCTACGTCCTGAGTGCTCAGAAGAGGTCCTGGTGGGTTCTCAGTGGCCCAGCTGGATCCTTTGTTGTTCTTGACCCAAATACGGCTGTTTGGCAGGGCCTGGGTCACGTGCCCATCCTGCAGCTGGGGTGGGATGATGCGATGGGAACAGCTTCACCTCTGTCAGATGGACTGCGGGTCAAGGAGTTTCCTTGAAAGAAAGTTGACGTGTTTCTTTCAGTAAAAAGGGAAATGGAGACCAGGTAGCAAAAGCAATAAAAGCCCATGACGATCATCCCCAGTTAAACCTGGGGTTGAACTCCAGGTTTAGTTTAGCTTTGTTTTGAGTGAGGGTCTCACTCTGTCAGGTAGCCTTGAGTGCATGGCACGATCATGGCTCACTGCAGCCTCCACCTCCTGGGCTCAGGTGATTCTCCCACCTCAACGTCCTGAATGAGGACTTTTTTCTTTTTTGAAGAGACAGGGTTTGACCATATTGCCCAGGCTGGTCTCAAACTCCTGGGCTAAAGCAATCCTCCCGCCTGGGCCTCCACAAGTGCTGGGGTTACAAGTGTGAGCCATGGCACCTGTCCCTCTGAATTTTTGATCCTAGAATTCAGACTTTGTTCTTGATAAGTGGTCGATAGTGTTTTGAAATGCCACAGACATCTCCATACCTAACTCTAATTTTGTTTTATTTAATTGTCTTTATTAAATACATTTTAAATTACAAAGATGATAATATAGGCCAGGTTTGGTGGCACTCACCTGTAGTCCTAGCTACTTGGGTGGCTGAGGCAGGAGGATCTCTTGAGCCAGGGAGTTCGAGGCTACAGTGAGCTCTGATTATACCACTGCACTCTAGCCTGGGCAACAGAGCAAGACCTTGTCTCTTAAAAAAAAAAAAAAGATAATATATTATACCTGGGGTAACTACTGAATGCATGTAAAAAAATGTGTATAAAGAAGTACTTAACCCAAGTCAGAAGCCTGGAGTTTATTCTTCCAAATCATGTTCTCTGCTCAGACACACAAGTATTGCCTTCCATTGGTTAACAATGTGAGTTTTTACAAAACCAGCAATAAAAAACTTTTTCTCATGTCTCTGGAGGCTTCCTTCCAGAAGCCTGGGTTCAGGTCTGTCTCATTTTAAAAGGGTTAATTTTTGAATGCTTTTGTAGGACTTGAAATTCAAATAGCCCAAAAGAGTTTAAATAAAAAGTTTTCCCACACCTTTTTTCCAACCCTTCCTCTTCCCTCCACTAAAAAATTGGCAGTCTCTGTGGACAGAATTTCTACATTTACAAAGATATATACAAGGAAACGTTTTCCTTGTGAATGGGAGAGTATTTATTTTTATTTATCCGCGTACCCCGGAGACCGTTCCGTGTCAGTACAGCGCATGCTTCGTGGTTTGATTTTAGAGCTGCGTAAGTTTCTTTGTGCGGCTGTTGCGTTGTTTATGTAATGAGTCTCCTGCTGACGGGCTCTCAGAATGCCTGCAGTCCTTTGCTATTGCAAACAGAACTGTAAGGAGGTAGCCTGGAACAGTCATTCTGCGCAGGATGGGTGTCTGTCGGAGGAGGAATTCCTGCAAGTGGAATTATTGGATTGATGGACGTGTGTGGGCTGGCTGTGGTGGCTCACGCCTGTAATCCCAGCACTTCGGGAGGCTGAGATGGGTGGATCACTTGAGGTCATGAGTTCAGGACCAGTCTGGTCAATGTGGTGAAACTCCATCTCTACTAAAATACAAAAATTAGCTGGGTGTGGTGGTGCGTGCCTGTAATCCCAGCTACTCAGGAGGCTGAGGTGGGAAAATTGCTTGAACTTGGGAGGTGGAGTTTGCAGTGAGCCGAGATTACTTCACTGCACTCCGGGCTGGGTAAAAGAGTGAAACTGCATTCAAAACAAAGAAAACAAAACAAAACAAACAAAAAAAAACCAAAGGATATATGCAATTCAGGTGTCCATGGATGCAATCAAAACGCCCTCTACTGAATTGGTGCCAAAGTGCGCCCCCTCCCCCAACCCCAAGCAAGATGCTAGAGCCGCCTGCTTGACCTCTTCACTGACCAGGTGAACAGATGGGTGCCAAACTGGATCTCACTGTGGCAGAACCAGTTTTTAAAATGCAGAGTCAGCTGGGCTTAGGCTGGGGGTTTGTAGGGGATTCTGGCCTCTCTTCCTTGTGTCAGCGCCTCTGAGATGTGTCCTCTGTCCTGGTCTGTGTCTCCACAGAGCAAGCTGGTGAAGTACTTCAGCCGGCAGCTGTCCTGCAAAAAGAAGGTGGCCTTGCAGGAGCGCAACGCTGAGCTGGACGGCTTCCCCCAGCTGCGGCACTGGTTCCGGATCGTCGACGTGCGCAAGGAAGTCCTGGAGGTGACCTGGGGGCCTTGTGTTCCCTTGCCCCTTACTGGCCAGCAGCTGCCCCCTGAATTGCTCGAGGCACGGGTTTCTGACTGTGTCCAGCACAGTCTCTGGCACAGAGCAGGCTCTCAATCAATATGTACTGGATGAAAGCATTCAGGGTCACTGGTGCTGTCTGAATGGGGCCATCGAGAGTGTGCTTCCAGAGTCAGCCAGAACCCTTCGGCTCTGCCACATATTAACAGAGTCACCTTGGCCAAATCACTTCACCTCTTAGTCCAGCACTGTCCAGTGGAACTTTCTGCTATGATGGAAATGTTTTCTTTTTCTTTTTTGAAATGGAGTCTCGCTCCCATCATGCAGGTGTGCCATCTCAGCTCACTGCAACCTCCACCTCCTGGGTTCAAGAGATTCTCCTGCCTCAGCCTCCTGAGTAGTTGGGATTACAGGCATGTGCCACCACGCCCAGCTCATTTTTGTATTTTTTAGTAGAGATGGGGTTTTGCCATGTTGGCCAGGCTGGTCTCGAACTCCTGACCTCAGGTGATCTGCCCAACTTGGCCTCCCAAAGTGCTGGGATTATAGGTGTGAGCCACCGTGCCTGGTCAAATGATGGAAATATTTTCTGTCTGTGCTCTTGGATGTGGTAGCCACTTGTGGTTAGGACATGTGAGTCAGGAACTGAATTTTGAATTGTTTTTAACATTAATTGATGGGGCCCATGGCTGCCATGTTGGACAATACTGTCTTATACCATTAATATTCTCATCTGGGAAATATGCATGGTGATTGTCCTCTCTTCTTAAATAACCGACATTATAGAGTGAGATGATTTCTACAAAATGTCAACTCAGCTGGGCGCAGTGGTTCATGCCTGTAATCCCAGCACTTTGGGAGGCCAAAGCAGCCAATTGCTGGAGCACGGGGGTTCAGGACCAGCCTGGGCAACATGGTGAAACTCCATCTCTACAAAAAATAAAAAAATTAGCCAGGTGTGGTGGTGCATGCCTGTGGTCCCAGCTACTTGGGAGGCTGAGGCAGGAGGATCACCTGAGCCCAGGAGGTTGCAGCTACAGTGAGCCATGATCATGCCACTGCACTCCAGCCTGGGTGACAGAGTGAGGCCCTGTCTCAAAAGAAAGAAAGAAAGAAAAAAGACTAGGTGCAGTGGCTAATGCCTATAATCTCAGCACTTTGGGAGGCTGAAGTGGTTAGATCACTTGAGGTCAGGAGTTTGAGACCAGCCCAGCCAACATGGCGAAAACCCATCTCTACTAAAAATAAAAAAATTAGCTGGGTATGTTGGTGCATGCCTGTAGTCCCAGCTACTCAGGAGGCTGAGGCAGAATTTCTTGAACCCGGGAGAAGATGTTGCAGTGAACTAGGATCACACCACTGCACTCCAGCCTGGGTGACAGAGCGAGACTCTGTCTCAAAAAAAACAATTCAGCTTGTAGTCTGCCACCAAGTAGCACTTGGTAGATGCTAGCCTGTTACTGTTGTGAGCATCTGACATCTCGTGTCCACCCTCAAAGATTGGACCGCGTCCTTAATATCTTAAGTATAGTGAGATTTTCTTACCCCGTGGGATCCCAGAGACCGACCCATATGCAGTGACGGGGCCATCGAGAGTGTCAAGCCAAACCTCATAAATAAAACCAAACCTAATATATAAAACCAGCAGACATCACTGCATCTGTCAAGCCAGGCATGGCGCTAAGGGCATTGCACTTAGGATCTCAGCTGCTGAGACTGTTCAGCCTCCTCACAGTGACCTTTTGAGTAGGTGTGACTATTATCCCCATTGTACAGAGTGGGAAACTGAGGCTCAGAGCTAAGTGACTTGTGTAGATGGTAAGTGGATGAGGCTAGCAGGATGTCCAGCTCGGATGGACAGCAAAGCCTCAGTTTGGAAGCACTGCTCCTTAGCCTTAGCCTTGTTTTCCTGTTGCTTGGGCCTCCCTGATGTGGGCAGAAGAGGAGTTGCCCCCTGTCAGTGAAACCAAGTGTCCTCTCTCAAGGCGCTCCCTGCTTCCTGCCTTGAAGAGGCTTCCTTTTTCTTTTCTTTGAGACAGAGTCTCGCTGTGTCACCCAGGCTGGAGGGCAATGGCATGATCTCAGCTCACTGCAACCTCCGCTTCCCAGGTTCAAGTGATTCTCCTGCCTCAGCCTCCTGAGTAGCTGGGATTACAGGTGCCTGCCACCACACCAGGCTAATTTTTATATGTTTAGTAGAGATGGGGTTTCACTATGTTGGTCAGGCTGGTCTCGAACTCTGGACCTTGTGATCCGCCCACCTCGGCCTCCCAAAGTGCTGGGATTACAGGCATGAGCCACCGCATCCGGCCTGCTTCCTGTCTTTTTTAGACCTTGGCCGCAGGGACAAGAATCTCACCCAGCCCTACCAGATCTAAGATCCCGAGTTAGCTGCAATATCACCCCCACCTTTCCTCCAGGCTTCACCCCACCCCGTCTTGCAAATGTACATCAGACCATGCACAATTCCATATTTCTTTACTTCATTCCCAGGATGGCCAGAGAGCCCAGATCAGTTTCTTGCAAATATCTTGAGAATGAATGGTCCTGTATAAGGACAGACAGTGTTTTATTTGCATGGCCCAGGGCATTTGTTTTTTTCCAGAGGCTTCGGGATCATTTATTATCAAGTGCCACTTGTGGGGGCAAATAAGACAGAAACGATTCCAGACCAGGGGTTGAAAACCGGTGGGTCTGATGTGCAGACATTTTTTGTTGTTGTTTTGCCAATATGATGTCAGGACATTTATCTTGAGCCAATACTTAAAAACCAAAAGAGTCTGCCTAAAAAGCCTAGATCTCTGGCTTCACTTACAAAATCAGATATGTTGACCACGCTGAACTGAGCTCCTGTCTGGCAGCGATTTGCTTATTTGCATTTACCTGGCCTGCAGGTACCTGGGTTTCAGTTCTTGGCTTAGTGAGCATCACCACCCAGGGAGTGGGCGGGAGAAGAGCTGGGGTTTCTGCTCTGTCTGCAGTTCAGGTATATGTCCACCAGAGGTCCCCATTCTGTGAAAGGTCCGAAGTATGGAGAAAGCGCCAAAGTGAAACATCTGGGTTAGAATCCTGGCTCCAGCAGTAACCTGCTGTGTGACCTTAGGCAAGTGGTCTAACGTCTCTGAATTTTACTGACCTAGTCTGTAAATGGTGATGATAAAAGTGCCTACTTTTGTGATATTAAAAGGAAATCTATGACAAACCTTAAAACAGTGTTCCACCCATTTCAGCTATTATTATTATTTCAATTATTATCAAACAGGTGCATCTGCTCTTTTGGCCCAGGTTTGTTAAGGCTTTCTCCATTTTTGCTGTGATAAAAATGTCACTTTTATGATTTTTTGTGATCTTAAACTTCAGAGTAAATTGAAATATATACATATGTAAATCATAAGATTAAAATGCTCAAGTGGGTCCTGAAGCAAAGAGGAGAATTCTTTTATGTCACGAATCATCCCCTCCAAACATGAGTCGTCTGTCCCTTCGGATTCTGGGCTAGGTGTGGTGGCTCATGTCCATAATCTCAACACTTTGGGAAACTGAAGTGGGAGGATCACTTGAGGCCAGGGATTCGAGACCAACCTGGACAACACAGTGAGATCCTGTCTCTATAAAAAATTTAAAAATTAGCCAGGCGTGGTGGCACATACCTGTAGTTCCAGCTACTCAGGAATCTGAGGTGGGAGGATTGCTTGAACCCAGGAGTTTGAGGCTACAGTGAGATATAATGGTGTCTCTTTAAAAAAATAACAACCAGAAACATATCCTTGTTTGTCACCCTTCTTTAAGGGGCTCACCTGCAATGTGTCCCTATTTGAGAAAGCCTCTAAGTGACTCCACTGCCTGCCCTGGTGAGTTGACAAGGCACTGATTGGGTTTTGGCTTTTGGTCCATAGCTCATTTTTTTGAAGAAAATTTTTGTGCTGAGACAGTTTTCTTTCTGGCTATCAGTTTAATGTGGGAGCTGTACATTGTTGTAATACACAAACCTGACCATAAGAGGGCAGATGTATTCCGCAATACTGCCCTAGAATCACCATACGTAGAGATATATAAATAATCTTTTTTTTTTTTTTTGAGGCAGAGTCTTGCACTGTCACCCAGGCTGGAGTGCAGTGGTGCAATTTCGGCTCACTGCAACCTCCCCCTCCTGGATTCAAGCAATTCTCCTGCCTCAGCTTCCTGAGTAGCTGGGATTACAGGCACACCACCATGCCCTGCTAATTTTTATATTTTTAGTAGAGACAGGGTTTCACCATGTTAGCCAGGCTGGTCTTGAACTCGTGACCTCAGGTGATCTGCCTGCCTTGGCCTCCCAAAGTGTTGGGATTACAAGCGTGAGCCACTGCGCCCGGCCATCTGTAGATATTTAAAACCCTTATTTACTTTGGGAAGCTGAGGTGGGTGGATTGCCTGAGGTCAGGAGTTCAAGACCAGCCTGGCCAACATGGTGAAACGCCTGTCTCTACTAAAAATACAAAAATTAGCTGGGCATGGTGGTGTGTGCCTGTAATCCCGGCTACATGGGAGGCTGAGGCAGGAGAATCACTTGAACCTTGGAGGCGGAGGATTGCAGGAAGCCAAAATCACACCATTGTAGTCTAGCCTAGGTGGCGAGAGCAAGACTCTGTCTTAAAAAAAAAAAAACCCTTATTAAAGTAATAATAGTATATGTTAAAATGTTGAATATTAAGTTCTGTAAAAGAAGACATATATATATATATATATAGATGCATAAATATAGAGGCTTGACACATTTTGAGGTGTGTCTGTATTAGGGTATCTAGGGAGATACTATTTTTGGGGCATGGGGCAGTGGTCACCTGCCCACACATTAATTTGTGAAGCCTACCTTTTCTCGATCCCTTTCCCCCACTTCACACTATACTCCAGCACTTCCACTTTGCCTTAGGATGCAAAGCCATGCCCTGTGGCGCTCAAAAATGGCCTAGTTTCATTTCCAGCACGGAGCACTTTCAGCCCCTTTCCCATTAGGATTTCTGAAGACCAGTATGAGCCCTAGACCCCGCAGCCCAGAGAGTGGGGCCCAGTCACCAAGCCATCTGCATTGTCCTGTGCTTGCTCTGAGTCTGTGCTGGGATTTTAGAGGAGTCCCTGCAGAGCGGGAGGCACTAAGACCCATGCACACGTGGAAACATGGGGTCCTGCCTTCTAAACATGCAGAAGCTGGGTGGAGAGACAGGCAAAGTGCTGACGCCCTGCCGGGTAGTAATTATAATAGCACCAAGCACTGCGCTGCCTTGCCAAGTATGGGTGCTTAGGATTCCCACTTTATAGATGAGTAAACTGAGGCCCAGAGACGTTGAGCGACTGCTCAGAGGTCATCTGGCTAATAATGAGTGGCAAACCCAAGATTTGGAGACCCCACCGTCCTGCAAAGCGTTTACACAGTGGTGTGTTCTCTAGGCACCACTAGAGGGCAGCGTGGAGGCGGAGTTGCTACTCCTGCCCCACGGTTGACAATCCTCTCTCCGCTCGCCTAGGAAATCTCACCTGGCCAGCTGAGCCTGGAGGACCTTTTGGAGATGTCGGATGAGCAGGTGTGTGCGACCGTCGAGAAATACGGAGCCAACCGGGAGGAGTGTGCCCGCCTCAACGCCTCCCTCACTTGCCTCAGGAATGTCCACATGTCAGGTGAGCAGCCCCCGGGATCGGGGGTGTGAATGGAGACTTGTCCCCAGCACAGCTGCCACGGTCCCTCGGCATCCGGTGCCGGCCACTGCAGGCCAGGACGAGGTAGCGTCACCCCTGGGGGGCAGATCCGGCTCGCAGGAAGAGGCAGCACGGGCCTGGGATTTGGAGGCCACAAGACGTGGACAGGGGCAGCTCTTGGATTTGAACTCTTGCCCCAGGAAGATCTGCTGAGGTTTAGAGTATCTGGTTCTGGAAAATTAAAAGTCCAGATATGAAAATAGTGAGTAGGCATAGGAGACCAGGGTCTTTGTACTTTAGATATGCTGAATTGCCTTTGCATTTTGGGTCAATGGCTAGCTTCTGTTTTTTAAACGTAATTAATATGCATTCATTGTAACATAAATCAGAAAGCAGATCAAAAAAATTATCCTAAGCCCCACCCTCTAGGTAACTGCTGTTGTCACTTTGGTATAATTTCTCCTGACAAATGGGTATATATGTATACTTTTAAAAAATAGGATTAGAATTGTCCACATGTATTGCTTAAAATTTTTTTATTTTTATTTATTTATTTTTTGCCTAATAAAATAACCTCTGTGACTTGTATCAGTTTGGGAGCCAACTATATTGTCATCCCTCCTGGATCTTTTCCATTAATTGCTCAGATACCTGTTTGTCTTTATTAGCAGAACAGCAAATATCCTCTTCCTGAGGCTTCCTGCTTCTCTCTAGCCTTATGATTTTCTGGCAAATTCTGGGAAACACTGGCCACAGTGTCAGTGGCCATCAGCTCTGCAAACACCAGCCACAGTGTCAGTGGCCGTCAGCACGGTGGTTTCAGTTCCCACCACAAGGTGTCACTGTTGAGCATCAGTCTGGCAGAGTCAGGTGGAGGCTCACGAATACCTTTGCTTGATTCAACCTGAAATATTCAACAGACATTTGTTGAGTATTGCACTAGACCTGGAGAAGGCTGGTAATCTGAGTGGCTGCGTGGTGCCAGCAGGGCTGAGGAGGCAGCGGTGAACAACACAGAACATATTTGAAACAGGTCATTGGCCCAGTCTTCCGCGCCCTTTTGTATTTTTTCTTGCTGGCAGAGCGTGATCTGGAGCACAGTCATCATCAGAAGGGATCATGTGACCTGGCACACTGATTCACGCCTGTAATCCCAGCACTTTGGGAGGCCAAGGCAGGAGGCTCTCTTGAGTTTAGGAATTCCAGACCAGCCTGGGAAACATGGTGAAACCCTGTCTCTACAAAAAATACCAAAAAAATTTGCCATGTGTGGTGGCACACGCCTGTAGTCCCAGCTACCCAGGAGGCTCAGGCTGGGGGGATCGCTTGAGCCTGGGACATGGAGGCTGCAGTGAGCCATGATCACACTGCTGCACTCCTGCCTGGGTGACAGAGCAAGGTCCTGTCTCAAAAAGTAGGGGGTGGATCGTGCACTGGGGGCTGTCTGTCTGGTGCATTGAAGGATGTTTGGTTGGAAGCATCCCTGATCTTTGCCCAAGAGATACCGGTAACATCCCCCGACTCCAAGTCATGATGCTCAGAAATATCCTCAGATATTTCAAAATGTTCCCAAGGAGGCAAAATTGCTCCTGAACTGAAGAGCTGTAAAGGTCCTGTGATTCTTTACCTCTAGCACAATGGTACTGAGTCACCTACCATGAGTGTGGTTGACAGGGAGGGCCTCTCAGTCACTCAGTACATACACAATCTGCTCCAAAGGTGACTTTCTCTCTCTAACCACAGTGAGAAGCAGGTGGCAGTTTTCTCTCTCAAACAAAATTGCAGGTCTGGCGTGGTGGCTCACACCTGTAATCCCAGCACCTTGGGAGACCAAGGTGGGAGGATTGCTCGAACCCAGGAGTTTGAGACCAGTCCAGGCATCATAACGAGACTCTACCTCTACCAAAAAAAAAAAAAAAAAAAAAAATTAGCTGGACATGGTGGCATGCACCTGTAGTTCTAGCTATTTGGGAGGCTGTGGTGAGAGGATTGCTGGAGCCCTGGATGTCGAGGCTACAGTGAGCTGAGATGGTACCACTGAACTCCAACCTGGGACGCAGAGAGATATTGTCTCAAAAAAAAAATTGTGCCAAATTACAGTGTTATATCCTAAACATCTTCCTTTGTCAATAAATGCATTCACTGCTTATTTTTAATGCCTGAATACTGACACCATTTATTCAACCAGTCTCCCAGTTTTGGAAATTTGGGTTAGATTCGTATTTTTCCTATCATAGGCAATGCTGCTGTGAATACCCCCAAGTGTTCTCTTTGGGGACCCCTGTGTCTATTCCTTTAGAGTGAATTCATGAAGATGGTGTTGCAGCAAAACATTTACATATTTTGGCCGGATGCAGTGTCTCACGCTGTAATCCCAGCACTTTGGGAGGCCAAGGTGGGCAGATCACCTGAGGTCGGGAGTTCGAGACCAGCCTGGCCAACATAGTGAAAACCCGTCTCTACTGAAAATACAAAAAAAATTAGCCAGATGTGGTGGCCCATGCCTGTAATCCCAGCTACTTGGGAGGCTGAGGCAGGAGAATCGCTTGAACCTGGGAGGTGGAGGTTGCAGTGAGCTGAGATCGCACCACTGCACGCCAGCCTGGGTGACAGAGCGAGACTCCGTCTCAAAAAAAAAAAAAAAATTACATATTTTAAGAATTATAGCGAACATTGTCATATTGCTTTCCAGAAAGTTAGTACCCATGTATGCCCCCACTGTGCCTGACAGTGAGCATTTGAGGCTAGGGGAATGGGGAGTTAATGTGTTTAATGGATACAGAGTTTCTGTTTTGCAAAATGAAGAGTTCTGAAGACATATGGTAGTGATGACTGCCCCACAGTGTGAATTTACTTAACGCCACCGAATCGTACACTTAAAAATCATTTAGATGTGCTGGACGCAGCGGCTTATGCCTGTAATCCCAGCGCTTTGGGAGGCGGAGGCAGGTGAATGTGAATTTCAGAATTCACAGCCTCGTCACAGAGTTACTACTGAGTTTGGCAGAATCCTTAAAAGTAAAGTGAGATTCCAGTTTGCGTGAGAGAGGCATTTATGTCAGCCTTAGAGGGGGCGCAGAATAGTCATGTTTTTGTGACATCCTGGGCTGTGTGAGACCATGAGAGGTCTAGTATGCTGATCTTTTTCAAATTTTTTTTGATCCAGATGCACGGTACAAATGTAATTTATATTGTGACCTCCCACACACATAGGTACCCATACACGCACATACACGTAGCTACATATACACAGTTATAGCATGTTTCATGAAAAATACTCCTCCTTCCTATGCATGATGAAAGAAGATGTTGTAAATTCATTCCTGTTCTATTCCATATCACTTAGCAGATGCTGGTAATGGCCACTTTCTTTTTTCTTTCTTTCTTTTTTTATTTTTTTTATTTTGAGATGGAGTGTCTCTCTGTATCCCAGGCTGGAGTGCAGTGACGTGATCTGGGCTCACTGCAACCTCCGCTTCCTGGGTTCAAGTGATTCTCTTGCCTCAGCCTCCTGAGTGGCTGGGACTACAGGCATGTGCTAACACAGCCAGCTAACTTTTTTTTGTATTTTTAGTAAAGGCGGGGTTTTACTATGTTGGCCAGGCTGGTCTCAAACTCCTGACCTCAGGTGACCCACCTACCTTGACCTCTCAAATTGCTGGGATTACAGGTATGAGCCACTGTGCCTGGCCTGCCACTGTTTAATTTTTTTTTGGACAGGGTCTTGCTTTGCCACCTGTGCTGGAGTTAAGTCATGTGATCATAGCTCACTGCAGCCTTGACCTTCTGGTCTCAAGCAATTATCCCATTTAAACCTCCCGAGTAGTTGGGACTACAGGTGCACGCCACCGCACCTGGCTGATTTTTGTAGAGACGGGGTTTCGTCATGTCATTGCCCAAGCTGGTCTCAAAATCCTGGGTTCAAGCAGTCATCCTGTTTTGGCCTCCTAAAGTGCTGGGATTACAGGCATGTGACCCCATGCTCGGTCAGCTAGCACTTTCATTCCACACCTCTCTATGGTTTGAACCTACGCTGATCTCATTGATCCTCCGGCCTCCACGTAGGCCTCCCTCTGGACTCTTCCCAGGCTGCCAGGACTCAGTCTTCCATGTCCTGTCTCAGATGCCAGCCTTAGGGCCACCAGGACCTTGAAAGCAATGACCAAGTGCTCCATTTTTACCGGATTCCTACAGCACTTAGTGCTGAGGTCAGCTCAGTTCAGACTTCTTAGTAAAGGATTGAGTACCCAGCTCTGATCCTTAACACTGAACTTCACCCATGCTGTTCCTGCAGGCAGTGGTGCTGCTTAAAACATTTTAATGCTTACCTTTCTTGGGGGGCGATTTTTTTTTTGTTTATTTTTTGAGACAGAGTCTAACTCTGTTGCCCAGGCTGGAGTACAGTAGTGCAATCTTAGCTCACTGCAATCTCCACCACCCAGGTTCAAGTGATTCTCCTGCCTCAGCCTTCCGAGTAGCTGGGACACGTGCCACCACACCTGGCTAATTTTTGTGTTTTTAGTAGAGATGGGGTTTCACCAGGTTGGCCAGGCTGGTCTTGAACTCCTGACCTCAGGTGATCCGCCTGCCTCAGCCTCCCAAAGTGACGGGATTACAGGCATGGCCCTGATTTGTTTTTTGAATGAATGCCTCTCTCTTCCAGTAGACTGTAAGCTGGACGAGGGCAGGGATCATACTTGTTTCTGCGCACTATTTGATTCCCAGGGTGAAGGTCATTATCTAGCACATAATAGTAGTTCTATACAGATATATTTTTTTGAGATGGGGTCTTGATCTGTTGCCCAGGCTGGAGCGTAGTGGCACAATCTTGGCTCACTGCAGCCTCTGCCTCCTGGGCTCAAGCGATCCCCCAGTCAGCCTCCTGGGTAGCTAGGACTGCAGGCATGTGTCACCATGCCTGGCAATTTTTTTCATATTTTTTGTAGAGATGGAGTTTTGTCATGTTGCTCCTGCTGGTCTTG